TCTTCAGTTTCCTTCATTAATGCCTTGTAGTTCTCAGCATATACGTCTTTCATCTCCTTGGTGAGACTTATTCCTAAGTATTTTTTTTTGATGCGATTTTAAAAGGGATTATTTTTTTACATTTCTTTTCATATTTCATTGTTACTGTAAAGAAATGCAACCAATTTCTGTAGGTCAATCTTGTATCCTGCTACCTTGCTGAATTCGTTTATCAGTTCTAGTAGTTTTTGTGTGGAGACTCTAGTGTTTTCTAGATATATCATGTCATCTGCGTATAATGACAATTTTACCTCTTCCCTACTAATTTGAATACATTTTCTTTCTTTTTCTTGTCTGACTGCTGTGGCTAAGACTTCCAATATATGTTGAAGAGAAGTAGTGTTACCATTCAAGAGCACAAAATGTAAGTTAAAATTTTTTTATTTTTGAATGTCTTAAAATGCTCCCATTTCTGCTAATGACAGAAAACTGAAATTATTTTGATTTAAAGCAGTTTTAATAGTCTATCAAACTCAGGGTTCTTCCCTGACCCATTTTCCTCCTTGAAGGTGATCTGTTTCTCAGGGGCTGACATCTCAGCACCAGGAAGGAGTGTCTGGTCCGCATGTTGTCTGAACTTGGTCCTTGCTGGCTGCCACTTCTAAGATCTAGGTTTCTGAAACATGGTCTTTGGCATTAGCCTCTCCTCATAGTATGTTCAGGACCCTGCTCCTGTTCAGGGTCCTACCATGGCCTCCAGATACCAGAGATCCAGTCTCTATCATCCTTATCCCACAACCCTCCTTCCTAGTTGATGGTCTTCACACCTTCACTCCTCTCTCATACTTAAACACACTTCGGGGCTTTCCTTAGACTGCCCTGAGATATCTGGGATCCTGTGAAGGGAGCTTTCTCCTGTAAGTAATAGCATACCCACTCACTGTGGGGTAGTTCAATTTTCTCACATAACTAGAAGTATGGAGGTGGGCAAGTGCTGACATTGGCTCAACAGCTCAATGATGTCAGAATTCCAGGTTGGCATTGACCTCCCTCCCTCTCTGTGGTCTCAAGGTGTCTGCAGTAACTCTGGTCATCACACAACCACATTCAAAGGTAAGGATGCAGCACAAGGCAGTTTCTCCTCCAGAAAATTCCTTATGAAACCCTCTCCCCTTCCACCACCACTCCTTACACCTCATTGGTCGGATCTGTTCACAGTCTACCCCTAGACCAAGAGCTAGGGCACATTTCCTGAGACAAGGATCCATACTTCAATAAAATTTGAGGTTCTCCTGGAAGGAAGTCATTTGGATAGGTCTTCCACAGCACTCTTCCAACCTTACTGCTGAGGTGCCATGCTGTAGTCTTCCCTACAGGTCTCCCAGGTTATGGTGTAGGAAAAGGCGGCAAGTTTGCCACCCCCTGCTCTTGGATTCCCCCCAATCCATTGATGGAATTCCACCATACCCATCCCAGAGCGCTAAGCTCAGGGACCTCTCCTCCAGCGCTCATTAAAGTCTAACTGCAGTCCCATTCTCTCCTTACTTGCTGGTAACTCTTCTGGGGTGGAAAGTTCATTACACATTTTCTTTTATTCTGTTGCCATAATGCAACTCATTGTCCTTGTCCTCTTGACAAGTTTATGAAATATTTCAAAGTCATTTTAAGTACCTGCTTCTGCCATTAATTTTCCAGAGACCATTTTGTCACTCAAAGCCAATAATTTGCCCCTTGGTCACTGCTGAGTTATATACTCTTACTTCCATGGGGCAATAAGCTAAGCCTTTTTTGGCCTAATTCTAATGGCGGAAGAACTTCAAAAGAAAGGGAAAGACAAAAAATACTTTATTAAAATAAAATGTACCACTGGGACTTCCCTGGTGGCGCAGTGGTTAAGAATCCGCCTGCCAATGGAGCACACGGGTTCGAGCCCTGTTCCAGATAGATCCCACAAGCCACGGAGCAACTAATCCCGTGTGCCACAACTACTGAGCCTGCACTCTAGAGACCGCAAGCCACAACTACTGAAGCCCATGCGCCTAGAGCCCGTGCTCCCCAACAAGGGAAGCCACCGCAATGAGAAGTCCGTGCACCGTAACAGAGTAGCCCCCTCTTGCCGCAACTAAAGAAAGCCCACGCGCAGCAGTGTAGATCCAACGCAGCCAAAACTAAAAATTTTTAAAAAGTACATTTAAAAATAAATAAAAATTTAAAAAAAGGCAGCACTGTGGTCAGGATGTCAATAGTGGGGAAGTTTTGGGCGGGGGCAGGGATGTAGGGCATATGTGAACTCTATTTCCTGCTCAATTTTGCTGTGAACCTAAAACTGCTCTAAATAATAGTTTATTAATTTAAGTAAAACAACAACAAAAAACGTATTAGTTCCAGTTTCATACCTGACTCTGTGCTAGGGGTGATCTGTTAGGATCCTTGCAGGTCCCTCCCTAACCAGCTCTCTCAGCTGAGATGGAAAGTCCCACAGAGCCCTTCTGACTGAACCTTTCCATCTCAACTGAAACTTCTCATCAAGCCCACAAGGGTTGAAGGGGCCCCGACCAAGGCCACTCAAGTATGGCAGGGGTGGAACAGAGGCCATTTGTCTTTATGCCAATTTTTTTCCTAATGCCCTCTGCTGTGTAGTTACCTGTGCAGTTCCTTCTCTCTCGTCTCCTTACTAGTGGAACCAATTCTGCTCAGCCTGGAAACTGGCCTGCTAAGCCTCTTCCCAGCCTTCCCCATTTCTCAGCCTTCCTTGCAGCTACTGTAGTGTGCCATAGCACCAATCGATGACTCACAAGTGAATCACTACGTGATGTTGCTGGGAAAACTCTTCAAACAGGTTTGGCAGCTGAAATGTTCCTGCCTTTCCCCTTACATCTTCCTGCCTGGAAAAGGGGTGATGGTCACTTAATAGCAGTCATAGTGTGACAAAGAGGTGACCTTAAGAATGTAAACCATGCTAGAGTCCGCAGAAAAGCTAGAATCTAGACAGCAATCATGAAGCTTCCATACTAGCACTAGGCAACATTCATACTTCTTTGAAATGTAAATTTATTTAACCCATTAATGTTAACAGCAGTTCAATGCAATTACTCCACAGGTAGGCTCTCTTATTTAAGATAAAAATAGCCTAAGTCAATCTAAAATTTTAAGTTACAGCTTTTAAGCAAATAGGATTTCAGAATCCCAAGGAGTTAATACAGCAGATGCTTCCTTCAGGTGGGCCAACAGCCAAACTTTTTTTCTTTGAAATACAGTTGATTTACAATATTGTCAGTTTCAGGTGTATAGCAAAGTGATTCAGTTAAATATTTTTTCAGTTACTTTCCATTATAGATTATAAGACATTGACTATAGTTCCCTGTATGATACAGTAAATCCTATTTTACGTAGTTTGTTAATACCATACTCCTAATTTATCCCTCCCCTCCACCCCCACTTCCCCTCTGATAACCACGTTTTGAGTCTGCTTCTGTGTTGCATGTAGACTCCTTTGTATTATCATTCAGATTCCACATATAAGTGATATGTCTTTCTCTGATTTCACTTAGCTCTCCAGGTCCACCCATGTTGCTACAAATGGCAATACCTCATTCCTTTTATGGCTGAATAATATTCCACTGTGTGTATGTACACACACACCTTAAATCAATTGTCTGTTGATGGGCACATGGCTTGTTACCATGTCTTGGCTATTGTAAACAGTGCTATGAACATTAGGGTACTTGCATTTTTTTTTTCCCACCAGATGTATGCCCTGGAGTGGGATCGCCGGATCACATGGTAGCTGTTTTTAGTTTTTAAGGAACCCCCATACTGTTCTCCACAGTGGATGTACCAATTAACATTCCCACCAACAGTGTAGGAGGGTCCACTTTTCTCCACACCTCCTCCTGCATCTATTATTTGTAGACTTTTTGCAGTCATTTTGACTGATTTGACACCTGTGGTTTTGAGTTGCACTTCTCTAATGATGTTGAACATCTTTTCACATGCTTGTTCAACCATCAAATATTTCTGAAGGCACTTATGTCCAATCCCCAAGGAGCCCCTCAGCTCCCCTCCCACCAAGATCCCAACCATGGGAGGCCAAATAGAAAAATAGAACAATCTGGAAAATTAGTTCAATGGAATGGGGGAAAAATGAGGGCTGGCTGGGGTGTACCAAATATTTTAACAAGGAAGATGGTTAAAGATCATTTAGAATACCTTTATAAGCAAAACTAGAGAAATTTTGAATTACTGATTAAAAAATCATCCCTAACCCTGGTATAGCCAGTATCATTTTCACTTCTTTTCCTATACATTTTCACTCACACAGGTATACATGAAATTGATGCAGTTTTGCCACTCATCAACTGAAATCTTAAAAACCTTTGATTTTAAAGGACTGAACATAAAAAATGCCACAACCAACTACCTCAATTTATAGAGAAAATTTAAAGCCCCAATCAGTCAGAGGCATGGAACATGCTGAGAACCCACCTCATGACCTTCATTCCACTGTAACGGTCTCTAAGGAGTGGGAAACAGGATGGGAAACTTCACTGACCCTGTAGTATTTTAAATATATTACTGTTCAAATTATTTGAAAAAATTTTAAGCTACTTCTTAGCTATGCTAACTGTACACAAATCCTAGACTCAGCACCACTCCTAGTATATGGTAAATGTTTGAACTAGACTGGGAATTGAAGAGGGATAATGAGCCAGGTAGTGTCTGCTTTAGTAAACTCAAAAGAATGAGAATTATTTCAAGAAAGTAGGATGTCCTAAGCTGGTGTAACTGTGTATACAAAGACACATAAGCATTTACAAAATTGGAAGTGTAGGATATGGCTCGAGTTAGCTTCATTAACATACATCTATGAATAATAGTAGAATCAGCAAATTACTGCAAATAAAAAATTAAGTTAAGTACTTCAACAAACCTTAAAACAAATCTAAATACTCACAAATTAAAAAATGCATCTAATTCGGCAAGGATGATGATGAAGGTTAAGAATGATTTAAAAGCACAAGTTTTAAGGTAAAAGTAATCTTTTTATTGGAAAGATGTTTAACAAAATATAATGACTCTTATAACCCTTCATTTTTGTTGACCTTCCAGTCCTTGTACACATTAAAGATTCAATCACAGGATTACATACCATAATGAGTGCTCAATACAATGATGGATTCCCACAACATAATACCACCCCTAAGAAGTGCTCCAAATTTTAAGTCCCAAAGACAAAGAAACATAGAAACTTAGCAAGATAAATATTTATAAATACAGTGGAGGAAAAAGCAAAATATTTCAGTAGTTTCATTAAATGCCTTCTTTCAGGTGTAACAAAGGCTACAGAGGGGGATAGAGCTGGCATCTCTTGATCAGAAAAGGGATCTTAACCAAAAACAAAAACAAACTGTGCTTTCCCAAACTTTCCAGCAACCCCAAAGTGAGATTACATGAGCAACTCTATACTTCAGAAGTCTTAAATCCTCAGTAGTTGATTGATGTTGGTACCATGCTGCTGTTTTTAAATCACTAATGCAAGCATGGCTCCCCTTGGTAGTCCTGTAATGTTTTCATTTGTGAGAAAACCTCCAGAAAGAACTCTGTTTACACCAAAGCAAGGTAGCAAAGAAACTGGTTACCGTGGAATAATAAGGCCCTAAGAAAGGCAGCAGGTCGTATAGTTACCTCCTTGTGGGCAAAATCCCTGCCCTAAAACTATGCAACCTACTACCTCTTCCTAGGAACCCATTTTTTTCTTGCCAGTCTTCTACTTAGCAGATGGACTTCAAATTAACCTGTTAAATTAGGCCATATGTTTTTGGTTTTATTTCAAATTCAAACCAATTAGAATTCGGTCACTGATGCTTTTAAAGTTACTGGCCGGAATCCCATGGCGGTCCACTGGTTAGGACTCTGTGGTTTCACTGCTGAGGGCCTGGGTTTAATACCTGGTCAGGGAACTAAGATCCCACAAGCCACAAGCCACGAAGCCAAAAAAAAAAAAAAAAGTTACTGGCCATATGCCTTTGGTAAAAACCACAAATGTGTTTGCTTAAAATCAAACCTCTTGTTATGAAGGGATAAAAAGTAATTCAATTACACCAAGAGGATGCAAACCAGAAGCCTAATACCCAGCCCATCATGTACTGTTGGAGCCACAGACTTTTTGAAACATTTAATATAGTACTAAAATTTAAACATATTTCATAAACTCTCCACCTCTCTTGATAAACTAGAGAATTAGGTGACAGTATGTATAAATCCTTCTTACCACCGTCAACTGAAGCAAATTAACTTATGGCCTGTCCCCTTTAGATGCTGTTTCCTAGTTATAAACCAGCCACTTCTAGGCCCAGGTTATTTGGATTTTTGACCCTTGACTTCGAGTAAACAGAAGCAAATTCTGATCGTGGTTTTTGTTACCATCAAAAACAAGCTTTTAGAGACTCTCTCACTATACCATAAGGTACTTTTAAAGGTTTTCACAAAACGTAGTTCTCCACAACTTTAATCAATTACTGGGCTTGGCCAATAAGGTTATGAAATATGTCCTTGTACAATCAATAAATGATACAAATTCATTTTTCACTAGACCTAAGGTATTAGTTCAGTTTCCAAATGCAGAATGGTGAAGATATCCACACTGGAGGCACCTGTATTGGAAACCCACAAAACAACTGCACTTGCCAAACAATTTCTCAACTATTCCCACTTTTCTTTGGCACACCAAAACGCAATGACTACAAGAGGCCCCTGCCCAGCATGTGTGTATGTCTAGTCTATAACAAAGACCAATTCTGGACCATGCAGGTTTCCATCTATATGCCAGGGATGAAATAAAACACACAAATCTGACCCAGGATAAATTACCTGGTTTGGACCATCCAAGAGAGAATTTGATGTTTTCTCTCATGCAAAGTTCCTGCTGCCAATGGCACTGCACAGGGATTATCTTAGATATTAAGATTCAGGACAGATGGAAATATTTGGGAAGAGGTGACCTCTCCCTCACCTCCACTTTGCCTCTTTTTCTTCTCCCAAAATAAAAATGGCAAGTACTTAAAACAGGGAGCTTTAGCCTTGCTTGATGGTTTGGCCATTGGAAGAAAACTGAAACATGAACCTCCATGAGTGTTAAAAACTCAAGTAGCCCTTTCTAGCATTATCCTCACATTTTCTTAAAAACAACAAACTATAGATTTCCTTATCTGACAACTTCAGGAGACCTCCCTTTGTGAATGAAGGCCCACTTCAGGTTTTGGGGGGTAGGGCAAAGCTAAGATCCTAAGGACTTAACCAGGGAACAAGGGCTGAATGCAAGAGCCCATTTCTCCTTTTCCAGGCTGGAGAGCGAAGTTGTCCAAATCAACAAGCCAGTGAAACAGAGATTACAACGATGCCCAAGGCACCCAAAAATCCAAACCAGGGAATGAGTCATAATCAACCTGACTCCATTTTAGCTCAGACAGTGCTTTTCCAGTTTGTATTTACCTTTACCACCTAGGATCTCACCCTGGACATCTGTACCAAGAGCAGTTAATCTATTCACAATTCCAAAGAGTCCCCTATTAAGATTTCCTGAAGGTTATTTACTTTCTCCACTCCGAGATTTTTGCTTAATTTCAAATTTCTGAAATATACCACATGTGAAAAATTTAAATGTTAGATTACTGTGTCTATTGTAGGTACACCATATTTGACAGAGAATGTTATTAGCAAAGGACATAAGCAAACTGTAAGTTCAAAGCAATGTCAAAATTCATTCTTCTGAGTTTTTATATGATCTAGATAGAAACAAAATGCAGCAAGTCTACTCCTCAGGGAAGGCAATAGATTGTATAGTTATCTCCTGAACAGGGTAAAATCACTACCCCACAACTATACAATCTACTACCTCACTCTGACAGAGCAATATTTTCTTCTGGAATGAAGAGTACAATCTCTTTATGTTGCATTATCAGCGTCAATCAAAATAAAACATACACTTATTCTGACACACAGAAATGAGAGGCAAAAAGTATCCCCACCCCCGATCAGTCTACTTGGTAACGTTTTTAGTCTCTAAAATAAGCAGCAACTTGTACACTATAAAGAAATGCTGCGCTACAGCATTTTTACACAAGTTAATCTCAAATGTTGTACAATTAGTTATTGATTTTATATGAGGCTGCCTGGATGCAGACTTTTCTATCACGTTAGGAAAGACAGTAGATTGTATAGTTATCTCCCAGTGGTGGGTGTGACCCTAAAACTATACAACCTACTACCTCATCCCACAGTGACGAGAATGCCCAGGGTGAATGCTGAAAAGAGACCACAGCTGAGCACCACAGGAAGGCTTTCTCCTAGGTAATCCTGGTTCTCCTGTGTGATTAAAGGAGAAGAAAAAAGTATTAGACCACTTTCATTCACTTAACTTGAACTAAGTTTAACTGAACAAATGCTCCAAAAATCATCAATTTAAACTGTAGCTATATTCCTGAACTATACAGTGCTTTTATTTCTTATTTTTGATTAGTATTATTCTAAATTCTTGATTATATGAAACCATATGCTTACAAGATTCAGAAATCACGGTTTTACACATCTCTTACTTGACTTACACACTTCTGATTTTCTTACAGTTTCCTTCCTTGAGAAACCTCCCAAAAAATCCATTACAAAGGAGGAATACAAGACCCTCTAACAAAGTCTCAAAAACTCAAAAGTCCTGTAAAACGCATAACCCATGATTAAACGCAATAATGTACAAAGGAATTATCCATAAATATACAAAAAGAGAACATAATTTTTAAACTAACCTACTCATATATTCCATGTCAGCAAACACTAAGTGATCTTATTAACAGAAAATCAAAGATAATCTACTGGATCTGAGTCAGGATCAGGATCCTTCCTTTAGCTAGAAAGGTACTGTGAAGATCAAAGTCAGAAACCAAGCTATTTAACACTTTGGTACAATACTCTCTGAACTAAGCAACATGATCAGTTTTGTTTTATAATCAAACCCTTAAGCTAAACCATATTAAATATCAGTCTTCAATTTACAGACTTCATACTTGAGATAGCTACTATAAAGATTTGCTAAGGAATGCCCTAAATTTAACGCCAAAAAAAATTACTAAGTAGTGACTTAGTAGTAATAAACAAAACCTATAATCAAAACCACTCTTATGACATATAGCTCAACGTATTAGAATTCAAGGTTCAAAAGTAAACCCCATACACACTGGGTCAACTGATTTTCAACAAGAGTGCCACGACAAGTCAATGGGGAAAGAATAGTTTTTTCAACGAAGAGTGCTGGGACAACTGGATATCTACATGCAAGAACATAAATCGGAGTTCCTACCTCACACCACATATAAAAGTAACTTAAGACAAATAACTTATTTTAAAGAAGGGTAAAGAATACCCATTTCTCCAAAGATATGACCAATAAGCACAAATGGCCAATAAGTCCATAAAAAGACAATCAACATCATTTATTAGTCTTTAGGGAAACCCGAACCAAAATCATAATGGGATAGCACTTTCAGACCCACTAGGATGGCCATAATCAAAAAGAGAGATCAAAAAGAAAGGAAGTGTTGTTGAGGATATAGAGAAATTAGATTACATTCCCACTACTGGTTGGAATGTAAAATGGTCAGGTGCTCTGAAAAAGTTTAGAAGTTTATCAAAGTTAAATAGTTACCAAATGACCCAGCAATTCCATTCACAGGTATATTCCTAAGAAAATTAAACACAAAACTTGCACATCAACGTTCACAGCAACATTACTCATTTGGAGTCAACAAAAACCGAGGTTCGTATCCTGGCCCTACTCACTCACTGCCACTGAACCCTTGTACAAGTAACTTAGCCTTTCTAGAGCCTCTGTAACATCAATTCATTGGACTAAATGATCCGTAATAATAAAGGAAAAGATTTACCACACCCTCAATACACGTAAGGCCCCACATTAAGCCCCGTCATCTGTGCCACCTTATTTAATAGTCTCATCATCTCTATTTTACAAAGGCAAAAACTGGTGCCAAGAAGTTTAATAACCTGCTCCAAATTACAAGAGATTAACATTGGATCTCCAAACTTACCATACCTGAACTTATTTCAATTCTAAAAGGCCAGATGATTCAAGGTATGAACGTGTAGGCAACTATCTCTAAAAAGTCAAGCACTTATAAACCAATTATCTTTCTCCAGAACCACCAACAGTCCTTACTTTTAAGATGACAGCCAACAGTAGAACCAGCTGGTACCTCTATCCCAATCCTCAAGTCCAGCTGAACTTTCTCGTTTAAAACATGTTTGAATCCTCATCAAACATAGGAATCTAAAATAAACGTAGAATCTAAAATGTATTTTTTTCAATCTTGGCAAGTGTGGCATGCTTACTTCATACTATTTTTCTTGATCCAGAAATTCTACCCTTTCTACCCATATTAGTAGAAAGCAATATGACAACTTATGTACCAAGGGCTGTTAAAATGCTCCCCAATTTGGGGGGAAATATATACAAACATAATCCAAAAGTTGGGTGTTTTATCGGTGAGGGGCACAGGGAACAAATATCTACTATGTAGCATCACTATTCATTAGTGTGGTGGTTTCCACCTTTCCATGATCCACACAAGAAAAATATATTTCTAAATAGTACTCATCATATGTCTATACATACACAATACGAAACACAAATACAGTAAGATACTAATATTTAATACTGTTCACAAATCAACACTAACCCCTACTGTTTTACTTTATACTTTACTATACATATTATATTGATTTTATGATCCACTGATGGTTTTCAGCCTGCAGTTTTTCAGATAACACTGATTAGAGCAAATTTTGGAAACTAAAATCTTACAGCGAAGAGGAGGTAATGTTTAGTTAAGTAAGCTTTCGGAACACAGAACAGAATCCATATACTAGAATTTATGGATTATAAGGACCCACGGAAATGTTCATTAAGAAATAAGGTTAAGTAAAAATCCTAACATGTACACTGATCACAAGTATACAATGTTTGGCTAGAGAAAGAGAAAGGAGTTGGGTAACTAGCTAGGTGTTATTTTCAGTCCTTGAGATTTTCCCCTTTACAAGTATACTTCAGAATCAGAGACCGGGTTTGAATCCTGGTACCCCATTTACCATGTCTTTAGACACATCAAGTAATCTCTGGGCCTCTGTTATTTCAACTCATAAAAATCAGACAAATCTTAACAAACAAATGTTAAGAGGGATTAGAAATAAAATACAAAAAGCACGAAGTACAATACTAAGCGCAAAGTGGATGCCCAATAACTTGTAGCTGAAACCATCAGTATTAGATTTTTAACTAAAACATTCTTAGACAAGAATATTAGCTAAAACTATCTGAATCTGACCTTTCACGTAATTCCTTTTTCTAAAAGGAACATAACTTTACATGCATTTTCTATCCTTTTTCACTTACTACCTCAATCTGCAGCTTCAACTCCTCCCCTCCCCATTAAAAATCCTAGTGATTGAAAGTCACAATTGAACTTGGACAAAATGTTTCTGTGTAACATAGCAGTACGGGAAAGAAGTGTAGAGCGACGGCTTTGGGGTCAAGCAGCTACCTAGCTGCTGTGTTCTTGGGTAAGTTAAATAACCTCCTTGAGGTTAAGTTCTCCTCTCCAGCTGGGGAACTAACATCCACACCTTATACAGTTTTTCTGAGTTTTAGAACACACGCAAAGCACCTTAATGACCCGGAAGTACTCAACAAATGGTAACCATTTTTCTTAATAAATTAAATCAATTTGAGAAACTAGGAGAGTAATTTTACCTTCCTGGATATACTTGTGACAGTCAAAAATATTGTACTTATCTTCAATTAAATCATGCTGTGTCAATTTAAAACGTGCTGTGAAGAGGTAAATCTACTTCATGATTAGAAATAAGCTTGTTTATCTATTTACATCAAGGTTTCGTAACACTCATACTTTAAAATCCACTTACATCTTAGTAAACGACAATGTTATGACATCATATGTTTAACATACTTGTATAGTCAACAACTAAAAGTCAGGGTTCTTAACCTGCATCCATAACCGGCTTCAGTAACCACCAGAAATTGTATGTACAATTTTTCTGCAAGAGTCCATAGCTTTTACCACATTTGCAAAGAAGTCTATAACCAAAAGGTTAGGTGTTATGGTCCTAAAAACATATCTGTATGTACATTCTGAAGGCTACATACTAATTAAAATTATAAATACCACCTTCACATTTGTCAATTTTCCTAAGATAGTATTTTAAACAAATGGCTTTCTAAATTCTTAAAAGTATGCTAAACAAACATAGTCCAAACACAGGCACACTCTACCTTCTGTATACTTAATACCTATTAAGAGTTTGAACTTCTGAGCTAAAATGTTGTTCTTCCAGCAGTCTAATTTCCCATCTTCTATATTAATTTACATATTCCTATAAACAAAGTAGCTCAGAAAGCTTTATTTTTAAAAACCTTTATTCACATGCCATCTTATGGTTGTATAAACTGAATATTGGCTACTTAAAACAGATTTCCTTCAAATATTTGGTTGAATATGAAATTATCTGATGATTCTTGGCTGAATATTAAAACATTATGCAAAATATAAAAGCATTTTAAATAGGAATATATGCAAACTCTTCAATAATATTTTGATTCCTTTGACAGAACATATACATTATTTTTACCCAGGGATCACTCCACCAGTGTTCAGTTGACATGTGAAATTGACAAGATTACATTTTTAGATATAACTAAGTTTTTGCTAATGAAAATCAACCTACTTCTAATCTAAGATCTTACTTTCTTGGGTTTTTTGGGGGGGGTGGAGGAATTTTTTTTAAAACGGAGGTATAACTGACATACAGCATTGTACAGTTCCAGGTGTACAACATAATGATTCGCCATTTGTATACACTGTAAAATGATCACCACAATAAGTCTAAATTTGTTATCCTACCAAATACTGCACTAAGCCTGAGACTCACATTAAATTTTAAATAGCTAAGTACTAGGTATGTTTTCCAAAAGGACCATTTCCTTTCATTCACTCTTAGACATACAGCAGGTACATAAGATGTTCTGGATTAGATGAAATTATCTAAATTCTGAAATTTTTTAAGAAGTTACCTAATGTCAAGTCAACTCCCAGTATTCCTTTGTAGATTTCCCAATGCAAAATATTAATTTGGGGCCAACTTCCCTACAAGTGCATTCTATCCTACTTCCCTGTATTCGTAAGAGAAGTAAATTCTGCTACAATCCCTATAATGCACACAAATACTTACGGTGAGGCAGGGTATTCCACTTGGGTGGCTTGTTCTGCTTAATGGTCCTTGTATAAACACCATTACTTCTCAGTCCTCCCATCCTATTCTGCCTTCTGATCCTTCATTATACTGATATGTTCCCAGGTTGAAAAGCCACTGTATAATCTACACATCCCCCAAAGCCAAGAAAAGGTGGGTTCCTGTCATTAAATCCATATTCCCCAGTTTACAATAATTGACCATATCCTTAGTTTACAATGTACAAGAAAAATGTTCCCTTCTATGAATTAAGCAATCATATAACTGACCAAATAAAAACTGGGGGGAAGGGAAGAAACTACCAAGTGAACAAATAGCATAACTTCATGATAATGAATACTAACACAAAGCAAAAAAGGATGACTACTTAACAGAAAAACTCCTAAATCATATGCATCATTAATACCAGTTATTTTAAAACAGATCATCTCAAATCTCTTAACACATTCCTAGAGAAGCAAAAGTAAAGTGTAGTTGTCAGCTGCCTCAGCATACTTAAGTTTTAGACCTAAAAGGAGCCTAAGAAATCACCTGATGCAATTTCCTCACATTTGAGATGAGGCTATAGAAAAAGGGGAAATTTTTGGCTGATAATCTGAAACAGCAAATACTTAGCTAGACAAAGCTAATTTTTGAAAAGCAGCTAAGCAATCCATAATGACTACTATCCATTTGGTAGTCATTAGCCACATGTCACTACTGAGTACTGGAAATGGGAGTAGCCCCAAATGAGATGTGCTGTAACTGTAAAATACACTCTAGATTTCAAAGACTTAGCATAAGAAAAAAAGTAGTGGCTCTCATTTTATCTTAAGTGATTGTGCAATGCTTAGAATATCCATACAGTCAAAGAGCATGCAGTGACCAGGCCTCCTTTCCTCCAGTCCTGAGGTCACATGAGGGCAATGCTGACAACTCATTACTGGGGATCCAGATTCTTCTATTCTCATCTAGACATGGAAAAATCATTGGAAGTTAATATTCTGGGATGAAGAAGAGCCTTTACTGTCTAAATAAAAGCTTCTCAGACTATTAAAAATATTAAGTGATTAAACTGCATGGTCACTGATAGCAAATTTACTTCCCCCAACTCCTGAAAACAAAAGTGAGGGAACATGTTCCACCAAATATAAATAAGCTGGGCTACTTTTAATACTCCTTGGAGAAAACCAGTGCTATAAATGAGAAAAATATCGATTAAAAGGATTGTTCTTCAAACTTTTTTGACACCCTCAGAAAAGATATTTTTGAAGGAATAAATAAACATGGATATAACTGAATCAATAGTCTCATGTAACAAACTAATATTTTCTATTTTTTAAAAAATTCTGATCACCACCCACTAAAGTGATTTCATGACCCAATAAGCCAGGACCTACAATTTGAAACACTGGTCTAGAACTCTTAATAACGAGCAATTCCCACTATTAACAAAGCTACCATTACATTAGCTATTGAAAGAAAAGGTACACAAATACCTAGTGTGCTGTATTCTAAACCAAGAAATTCTAGTTAATGCTAACTATTCTCAAAAAGTTCACAAGTTTCAAAACAATACTTTAACAGCTGTACATTAAATCAAACACCCCCCAAAAACCCAAAGTAACTTACAAAACTTTACTGCCTTTACTACATATACTCCCTTAATATACTGTAAACGAATCAGACTGCCATACAGCAGAAAAACTTGGATAAAAACAATTATTCTACTTTCTGAATTACGTTTAAATTTAGAATTTAACATTAAATTTTCTTAAACTATTGCATGATTTTCAGGCCAACAGATATAAACGAGGACTGCGAAATGAGGTTTTAACTAGCAACTAAGTGCCAAGAAAGCAATAATTATCAGCAAAGTTAAAAAAAAAAAAAAACTCATCCCGTCTTCTGATTTACTTCAAGAATTTAACACTCATTATCTCCAATGCCTTTTTCCCATCTGCCAAGCCTCTCAAATGTGAGAAGTCTATTTTAAAAAGCCGGAGAGTTAAAAACTGTGCAAAACACACACCCTCATCTCTGATACAGAAGGCAGGGGGCCAGGCCCTACTGTAAAAGTTGGAAAGACCGAAGGCTACTGCTAGCCAAGGACATAAAGGTTACGCGTTCCTCACACCGGAGTCCTCCGGGAACGTGTATTAGCCAGCCTGGTTCCAGGGTGGGCAGCCCCGAGTAAGGGCTGGGGCCGCTGGCTGTGGCCCAGGTCGCCATGCACGTGCCCGTCCCCCGGGATACCACTTCCTCCTGTCCGCCCCCTCCCCCGCCAAGGACGGCCGCCGGGGTGGACCCGGCTGCACAACTGCTGCGGGACCCGAGGCTGCGCTCGGCCGGCGGATTAGGGGAAGGGATCCAGCCCAAGGCCTGCCTGCCCGCGAGGCCCGGCCCTCCCCCGCACTTCCTACCTTCCCAGCCCCCAAGGCCAAGGTCTCCCAGGCCCACAAACCTGATAGCGGAAGTGACGTCAGGGGGACCTGGCGGCGTCCACAACCAGTCACGCCACCGCGGGAGGCAACGCCGGCCAATGGGCATAGCGCGAGGGCGGGATTTCCCCCGCCCAAGTTTGATTGAAGTGGGGGGAAGGGCGGGGTGAAGAATGTGAAGAATGACCCCTCCCCCCAGTCCGTGAGGCGCTGGGCGGGAAGCGGAGGGGGTTGGGGCCGGCCGCGCCACGCGGCGCCCATCCCCCGCCCGCGCTGCCGCTTCTCGCGACCTCTGCTCGGAACCCACCCGCCCGGCTCACTCCAGCCCCCAGGCTTCCACCAACCTGCCGGCAGCGCTCCCCTTCTCCCACCGCCTCAGGGGGTCCGAGAGAAGGAAAATGGCGGCGGGCCCGCGCTCGCCGTCCCGCCTCTGTACCCACCTCAGGACCGCGGAGGAGGCCGCCGCCCGCCGCCGCCGCCGCCGCCCTCCGCGGAGATGGCCCGGCCCTCGCACCCACCGCCACCCGAGACCCGCACACGAGGACCCGGATGGAGGCGCGGGCTGGCGGGCCGCGGCGGCTTGAGGGAAGGCAGCGCGGGCGTCGGGAGGCGGACGCAGGGGCGGGCTCGAGAGCAGCGCGTGAACTCATTGGCGAGGCCGTTTGACTGACGTTTGCATCTCCCTTTTGCCTCGGCCGAGCAGTGCTGGCCGGGACCCCACTGGAGGGCGGCAGCTGGGCCCGCCCCGCGCTGGGCGGCCTTCGGAGGAGGGGCGGGTGGTGCCCGCCCACCTTGTCTGCTCCCTGTCTCTTATTGGACGACTGGGAGAGTGGCGGTGCGGAGTCCTGCCCTCTGCTTGTGATGGACCGGCGCCGTCACGTGGCCTCCGAAATCGCGCCTGGTTGCTGTGCGCTGTGCTCTGGTTTTGGGAGTGTGTACCTTTTGCCCCATGAAGCACGGGCCCCCCAGCCGTCCCCTGAGGTCTTAGTCCCGCCCGGTTTGCCTCAATTTATCCAGCTGTGTGTGAGGGAGTAGTGTCAGCCGGCTGCGCCAGGTTTAGAAGATACTTGTCTTTTCAAAGCAATCCGTAATTTTCCTACTTTAATATTAACCTAAAACATCGTTCCTCCATGCTTATTATGACTTTCCCAAACTAGGACCCGGGAAAGCACTGGTTGGGTACCCTTTCAGGTCTCCTTATGTATGGGAGCCCCACCACCTGGGCCTCACTGTTTTTCATAACTCGCTGTTACTTTGTGCACAAGATTTTAAAAACAAACAGAAACAAAAAGACAAAACAAAAAATGCTTTCTCATGGATAACAGAACTGTTTTTAACAGCACGTACAGTTTACCTGGTGCGTTTACATTTATGATCTCAGGTGGCACTATACTACACTCGTATTAGTACATGCAATCAATGCCAAAGAAGTTAATTGGAGAGTTTATTTTGTGGGCTGAAGTGAACAAGAAACTAGAGGAAGGAAAAGTTAAGCTTGGGCCTGAAAGATTAGCATGATTTAGGACTTCTGGAAGGAAGATGTAGTTAGAAAGGAGAGCGCAGGCGCACTGGGCTGGCTGGAGTTGTGCTGTGAAGGAGTGGGATCCTCAACCATCTCTGTCCACAGTACCTCGCACAGTAGAAGGGTGGTAGCCTGGGAATGTAAAAAATTCTGTTAAATGGAACCAGTACAGTGATGTAGGCCGAGGTGAGAGGAAAGTGCAGCAAGGAGACCAGTTAGAATGTTGTTCAGTATTTGAGTTGAGAGGTGCTATGGGCTTCTACTACACAACAGAGCCCCCATAGCACTATGAACTTTTCTGACATTTTCTTCACATATTCACCTGAAAGTTCTTAGTAAGTTTGAAATAGTATATATGAAATATATTACCCTCTACTTTCCAATTTGTGCTTCATATTCTACCCTTGAAGGCCAACCAAACGACCCTGAAGTCTATAAAGGAAAAGATTAATAGATTTGACTGAATAAGTGAAAACCTAATTTAAAAAAAAAACTTTAAAGTTAAAAGACAAATGACAAATTGGAAAAACAACTTTGTAAAATACACAACAAACAAAACATTAGCTGGAATGTCTAGTGGTCAAGAGCAAGGACCTGAAACCAGGCTGCTCAGTTTGAACCCCAGTTCTACCTCTTCCCAACTACACAGCTACACATCCCACAAATCACTTATTCTGTCTGTGCCTCAGGTTCTCATCTGTAAAATGGGGATGATAACAGCATGTACCTTATAGGATTGTTGTAAGGATTAAATGAGTAAATATTGCAAGTTCTTAGAACAGTGCTTGGTAATAAAAGCACTTATATAAGTGTTTGCTAATATGTTATCCTTAATATATAAAGTGGATTTTTTTTTCAAATCAATAGTTAAAAAGTGAATGGCCCCTTTAAAAAAAGTGAATGGCCCATTAAAATATAAACGAAAGATATAAACTGTCAGTTCACAAAAGAAATAAAAATAGCCAATAGATGCGAAAAGGTGTTCACCTTCATTAGCAATCAAATAAATAAAAATCACAGCAATCTCCCAGGTCATCACTTAAACATGCCATGAAAAACTATGATGGTGATATAGACCTAAATTTATCAATATAGGAAGATTATCAGGGTTATACTGTTAAGAGAGAAATAAAGTTACAAAATAACGTGTATGACATAACCCCATAAATCTTAAACAATGGTTAGCTCTGGAATTACTCATGACCTTTATTGTCTTTACACACTTCTTACTAACTGTGTATTGCTTTCATAATCAGGAAAAGAAATAAGTGTAAAAGTTATCCAGAGAGGTTAGCTGTTCCCTAGTATCCATTGTCTCCTTTTTCTGTAGTAAACAGAAACCAGGTTTCTAGGTGACAGCAGAAGTTGAGTGCCCTAGGATGTAACCATGTGACTAAGTGCTGGCTGTTGAGATGTGAGCAGGAGCATGTGCGAGGTTTCTGGGTTCTGCCCTCCAAGGGAGGGGCTTGCTCTTTCTCTCCCCCTTTATGATTTCCAGCTGCCTGGGTGGAATGGAGTGTAGTGGAAAACCACATGGAGAGAATCCTGGTCCCCTGCTGGCAACATAGGGTGCTCTCCACTGAAGCCTGAACTTGAAAGAGATGTGACTTATTTAAGCCCCTAAAATTTGGGGAAACTTCCATAGGAAGCTAGCTTGACCAAGTGGGCATGCTCATGCAGTGTGCTCTCATTCTGCGTGTGGATTCTTAGGAGATGGAGGGCACATATTGTGGAAGGAACATACCGCTTTTGGAATAGGGCAAACATGGGTGAAAGTCCCAGCTCCTGTGTCCCAGAGGTACACCCTTGGACAGAGACAACGTGTTCAATTAAATCATAGTAGGGTGTGGTTTGGAACTGCTGAGTAATAAACAGAACCTGGTTGTCTTTACAATCATTATTTGAAAAGGTGGCAAGAGCTGCATTTGAATCCTCACTCGGGACCAAGAGGACGACCTTGCTGGCAATGCAGACCAGCCCACAGTAATCCTTAAGTTCAAGTTCGAGCTTGTCCCCATACTTCACCCCACCCCCAGCCTGGCTTCAACCTCCCTTTCCACTCCCCATGCTTGTGGGAGTTCAGGGCCCACCGCTGTTCAGGCCACCTGGAATGCTCATCCCCGTCTTCGCTTGGCCAGTTCTGGTCATTCAGATGGCACTTAAACCTGACCTGCTCAGACAGACCACCCAGTCTAACTCCCCACCATCACTATTTCACCACTCTATTTTTATAGCACCTTCAGCATTTTAGCACTCTCTGAACCCACCTTGCTTGTTTTCTTGTTCTCCATCCAAGAGAGCAAGAACCTGTCTGAATAGTCACAGCTGTGTCCCCATCTCTAGAACAGGGCCCTGTGCACATAGTAGGTGCTCTAATATCTCTTGAAGTGTAGAATTAAAAGCAAAGACAATAGGGCAGTTCACAGTGGAGGCTGAGCTCAGAGGATAAGAACTCCTGCAGCAGGAGTCCAGGTAGTGAGGGCCTCGACCAGCAGACAGCGTGGAAAGCAGAGGGAGCACAGCCAGCTGGGCCAGGAAGAGGAGGCGGTTCAGGGACCTAAGAAGACCCACAGACTTCCTTGGCTGGGTTTCCCGAAGTAGCCAAGCCCCAAAGGACCAGAGGCCCAGGGTCCCTGAGGCCCCAGGACAGAACCCTCCCATCACCTTTGTTTACCTGCAACAAAAACTACCCAAGCAAAGCAAACACACTCCTTCAACTCCCTCTGACCCCGCCCTCCATCACTCCCTCCCCAGGTGAGACTGGGGCTCTTGGTGCAGCTGCTCCCACTGGCCCCTCACTCAGCACGCTGGGTCCAGATAATCAATTTGCCTTTTGGTCTCCCTGCTTTACACAGCAGACACCCTTATCTTTAATCTTCCCCTTAATCCTGGGGCCCTGCCTCAGTGCGCCCAGGTTTTAGCTCAGAGCACGAGGAGCGCATTGATCTTGGAAGTTGATGTCTGGCCAGTGCCTCCCCAGATCTCACCCACTCTGACTGCCCGTGAGTCCAGGGGCCTCCTGCTTTCCTGTGTAAGTGCCAGGAAGTGCTGCTGCCTAAGGAGTCACAGCAGAATGAGGGAGGCCCCAGGTTTGGCAAACACCCCAGCACCCCTGGGGTGAAGTGGGCTGTTATTACACTGTCCACCTCTGCCAGAGCTTGCAAACTGGTGATGGCCTGGGGGTCACATCTGGTTCACAGAAGTGCTTTGTGATGCCCATGCAATGTTTTAAACCTATTTTTAATTAACTGAGAGCATTCAAAAGAATCAAGATATTTAACGTTAAGAAGTCTGGATTTCTTGCTTTTCTTAAAAAATCTGGAACACTCAGCTTACATTCCAAAAGGACAATGTTTTCTTTATGCCCAGCATGGGCTCTGCTATTTGTCACAGCCCCCACCTTCCTCCCACCTCTCGCCTTCTTCAATTTTATTACAAGCCTGGCTCCCGTGGTCATCTGTGTTTGTGTCCTCACTGCCTCTGCTCAGGGGTACTGTTCCTGCCCCACTTGGACCATGGGATTTTGGTCTAGGCCAAGCAGAGTCCTTTCCTTGAGGATGTCTTAAACAGGCACTGGGAGAAGAGAACCCCTTAGTCCAGCCCCCAAGCTGTGATGACAGGAGAGAAGGGGGTCATTCTACAGGAAAGAAGCAAAGCAAGCATTGAGAAGCAGAGACAAAGGTGGGGGGGCGGGCGGTGGGCAGCAGGATCCTGACAGCAACTGAGTCTAGGTCCTATCATCCCTGAGGCTACTCCACCCTTTCCCCAGTGCACAGTCACGACTAACAGTGAGTTAGAAGGAAGGAGAATGGGCTTGAGAATGATACATTTCTGGCTGCTGCAATTTTGGACAAATCGCTGATACCTTTCTCAGTTTCTTCATCTGTATAACGGGGACTCTACAGCTTACTTTAAGGTGGAGTGGGTTCCAACAATGTCATTTATGTGAAGCATTAAACGCAATGTTTGTGCATAACAGGTGCTACTAAGGATTCCATAAACAGTGAATTTTATGGTAGATGTTTACCAAAAACTGGTCAGCTAGAATTGAGTGAGCTCCTTCCTGAAGAATGGTAGCAGTGTTCTTTAAGGAGATATATCTAGATCAGTACCGCCTTCAGAGACTCTGGGGTAGGTTGGAAGAAGCTAGGCCTTCACCAGGAGGAGTCTGATTTTGCATTACGATCCACCCTCTCAATGACTGTGTCATCTTGGGCTCTTTACTTAAATTCTCTGACCCTGAGGTTCCTCCTGTAAAGTGGAGGTGATAACTCTCATCTCTTTCAGTTATTCTGAGAATGGAATTAGCTCATTAACATAACAATGCCTAGTAGTGTTTGTATCCTAAGCACTCAACAAATTGTAGTTATTGTGATGGGAAAGGAACAAAAGCCACAGTCCAGAGCTAGCCATAGGGTTCACTTCTGGGGAATCATTGCTATTGCGCTTTCTACTATCTAAGGCTCAACTGAGCTAAAAGTGCACCGTAAGTCATCAGAGCACAAAGCTGTCTGTTCAGTTGTGCCAAGAGCTCACCTCCTGCACCACCCACCCTGACAGCCAAGCCAGCGGCCCCCAGGATTCAAAGCCTCCTACGTGAGCTTCAAGCAACTAGCTTTTAAAGCAGGTTTCCATTAAAAAAAATAAAGAAAAGAAAAAGCTTTTGCTGATCAATTAGCAACAGAAGACCCCAAATTAAGAGAAACCACCATGTAGAATCTTGTTTTTTTTTCAAGAAGCAAAATCTAGCAACCTTCGCGTTACAGCCAAAATGATAAAAGTTGCTGACATTTTGAGACCCAAATACTACGTATACGGTTGATTCCCTAGACCCAACCTCACTTCCCTGTGTCAAGGACATGCTAGTGGAAGAAGGAGAGGAAGAATGAGATGGGTTCCCAGGAAGCTTTGCCTCCTCATTTGGTTTTGGCACTGAGCCCGACGCTGCCTTGCACAAAATATCCTCAAGCACTTGTTGGGACAGATGGCCCTGCGTGGCACAGCCTGCCTGCCAGGCCTCTCGGAGCCCAGCTGTGCTGGCCAGCACTTGGTCAGTCTCAGGGGGGACAAAGGCAGTGATGTCTATTCCTCTAATGAGTTCTTGAAAATAGCGCCTGATGGAAATAGTGTCCTTGATGGGGATCTGGGGAGACATGCTGCCCTCCATGAGTCTTACCATCTCCCTCTTGAGCCTTTTATGCTCGTGGAGAAATTGTACTGCATTAGCATGATGCTGCAGGAGCATCTTCATCTGCTGGTAAATCTGTTGGGGGGCTTCAAGTTCCCGGGCAACCAGCTGTAACTTCTCCAACTTGGAGGAGTGCTCGCTCTCCAGCTGCCTTTTCAAGGTGGCAATCCGGCATTTGATGCCCCTGAGCAGGCTGTCTCCAATGGTGGCGATCATGGCCAGTGTGTCCGCAGCACTGGTGGAGAGTTCCTGGATGAACTTCTTCGTGTCCTGTGGAGGCAGCGTGAACATTTCTTAGGAAAGACCCCCAGAGTCCAGGCCTGGGCACCTGGTTCGTGGCGTTGCCTCCTCTCCTCCCTGAACCAGGAACTCCTTGGGGGTGGTGGACACTTCTGGCTGTCTGCCCAGTACCAACTTTTCAACTCTTTCCTACCAAAGAACGCTGATTCTTCCAGCCAGCATGTGTGGGCAGCTAAAAATACTTACTCATTTCCTGCTTCCCTTGTAGTTAGGGGTGACCAAGTGTGCAACAGAAGCAGAAGTCTGAGTTGTTGGGTGCAGCTTCTGGGAAAGCTGCCTGAAAGTGGGCAGATGCCTCTGAGACAAGACTTGACCCTTCCCCTTTCTCCTGATGGGATCCGGGGTCAATGCCCACATGGAGCAGGCTCCTCACGACCTTGCGCTGACAAC